GGCCCGTGGGTGGAAGCGCTGGCCCTCTGGCTTGGTTTTCTGGTGCCACCTGTGCCAAGGCCTGTTGAAATCGTGCCAGGTGCTGTACGAACAGAAAATGGGTGTCTCTGCCCCAGACACAGACCAGAAGAGAATGAGAAGCAGCAGAAGGAAAAGTCAGGTGCCTTTTTCATGCACAGACCCCTGTGCCATAATAGAGGCTCTCCACGTGGATGGTAGCAGGGGGATCTTTGTTTCAGTGCACTGTATTCAGTGCCTCTGTTTGCGGCCAGGTGGGTCACTGTGCGCTCAGAGCTGTTGCCCTTTCTCCTGGTACATGGAGCTTCCTGATGTCACCCTCCAAATACTCCCTCCTACAACTCCTGTTGCAACCAGCTGCTTCCCTGCAGGTTGCTACAATGCCCAAGGTCAAGAGACAGAGCTGGAATAGACCCCAGGGCTGGAGCTCCTTAGACCAGTGGTTCTCACCCTTTTTAAACTCAAGACACTCCTCCTGAGGCTCACGGCGCCCCTTGGAAAATGCCAGCTCCGAGTCTGCTCTTGTTTTTTTGACTATGGAAAAATACTAGAGCGATTCTTCTTTGCAAAGAGCTCAGAAAGACCCCAGCAGGGCAGGGTGTTGTTAACCCTACGGATTCCTGCTTGACATCTCTGCATTTATCTTGCGCATCCTGTTTGCACACCTAACGTTGTGTGGCACCCTCAGAAGGATCTCCAGGCACCCCAGGGTCTCACAGCACCCCGGCTGAGAATCGCCATGCTAGACTGCGACGTGACCCAGGCTTGTGGGTCTGAAATAGCAGCACCAAACCCAGCCCATACAGGCCACAAGCCAGTAACCCAGCTGCTTTCACCTAGTCAAACCAGTGGCCTGGTGGTGGGAATGTGGCTAAGGTGGCAGAGAAGTGGGCTTGCCCCGTGGCTTCTTCCTTCTCCTGTGCTGTCTCGGTACCTGCTCTGTGCCGCACGCTCTGCACAGCCCCTAGCACCAAAGGCAAGACATTTATGACGGAGGACTTCTGGGCCTTATCCATGGTCCTTCCCAAAGCACGTGCCCACCCTCTCCTTCTCTGGGTGCCCCATGTGCCTGTACCATCATGGTCCTGGCACAGGAGCAGGGGGAGTCACAGAGGGGCCCGGTGGAGAGAGGCAGCCAGTGCGTTCAGGTGATATATCAGTGCTGTCCCAGGGCCCGTCCGGCAGAGCCCGAATAACCCTGGCTAACGGCATCAATATTTATGACTCCCCATGAAAATTTAACGGGCTGCAGTAATGAGGTCGTGAAGGGTGATCAGAGCGTGCCAGGGGCCGGCAGGGCTGGCTTTGCAGCGGCCACTGGCCTGTACGGGCAGGGGGAAGTGCACGTGCAATGCATGTGTATGTGTGCGTGCATGTGAGCGCGGGGACGTGCATCTCTGACCGCTGACACCAAGGAGGGTCTGACCCAAAGGCCAGTGCCTCTCCAGGGCATTATGAGGGGGGTCCATGCAGCCACGTCCCAGATCAGCAGGCTGGGGCTTGTCCCTCCTGTTGGTAGGTGTTGCCTCCCAGCAGCCATGGTGTCTGGGGGGTGCTGGGGTGGCTGCAGCCCAGCGCTCTGGGGGCATTACCTGCCCCCTGCCTGGGCCTGGTGAGTGAGTGGTGGCCAAGCTGAGCCACTTCGAGGCATCTGGCTGCTCATGCAGTGTGCTGAGCACCCCTGGTGAGGGGCTCAGTGTGGTTCAGGATCGGGGCCCAGCCCCCAGGTGCATAGCTCTACCCAGACCCTGCTGGGGGGCTGTCCCACACCCCATCTCAGCAGGATTGGAGCTGGGGAGTCTTCCACCTGTCCCCTGGGGCATGGTGAGACGGGGAGAGGCTGACTGCTGGACCTGGGCACCTGTGGCATGGTCTGAGGCTCCCAATCGGGGCCCATGGCAGGAGCCACCACATGGTTCAGAGCCGGGGATGCTTCCCGCTTCGGATGGAGCAGCAGGGCGGGGGAGGCGCAGACGAGGCTGGGACTGGAATCGTTGCAGGTCAGGGCTTCAGGGCCTCGGCAGAGCTGGCTGTGGGGAGCGTGCCTGGAAGGTGCCAGCACTGCACACAGCTCCCACAGGGGTCTGCATGCAGCTCTTCCCTGGGCCACTCTTCCCCTCTCCCCTTAGAGAAGCAGGGTGTGAGACAGCAGGGAGGGCTGTGCATGGACTGGAGTGCACACGCAGTAGTGTTCTGTGCATGGCTTGATGTACACATGGGGATTGGTGTGCGCACAAACTAGGGTTCCGTGTACGCTTGGATTGGTGTGCACATGCACTAGGGTTCTGTGCACACGGGTGGACTGGTGTGTGCACGCACTAGGGTTCTGTGTGCACATGGATTGGTGTGCACATGCACTGGGATTCTGTGTGCAAGTGTGTGTGGATTGGTGTGCATACACATTGGAGCTCTGTGCACGAGGATTGGTATGCATACACACTACACGCTGACCAGATTTCTGTGTGCATGTGTGGATTAGTATGCATACACACTGGAGCTCTGTGCACATGGATTGGTGTGCACACATACTAGAGTTCTGTGTGCACATGTGGATTGGTGTGCACACACACTAGATTTGTGTGCATGTGTGGATTGGTGTGCACACACTAGAGTTCTGTGTGCACATGTGGATTGGGGTGCACACACACTAGATTTGTGTGCATGTGTGGATTGGTGTTCATGCATGCTAGAGTTCTGTGTGCATGTGTGGATCGGTGTGCATATGCACTAGGATTCAGTGTTCATGAGGATTGGTGTGCACACACTAGAGTTCTGTGTGCACGTGTGGATTGGTGTGCACACACACTAGATTTGTGTGCATGTGTGGATTGGTGTGCACATGCACTAGGATTCGGTGTGCATGAGGATTGGTGTGCACACACACTAGAGTTCTGTGCACATGGATTGGTCTGTGCTCACGGGCTGAGCTTGGAGCTCTGGGTCTTGGAGGGGAAGCGCGGCTCCTCCGCTCTCCGGAGGCTTTTGCCGTTCCCTTGAAAGGTTAATGGGGGCTTTGCATGTGGAGCCCACTTGCTTCAGCTCCCATTTGCTGCTGGGGAAGGTGAGGCCTCCAAGGGCATGCCACTTCCCAGTGGTCCCGCAGAAAGTCATTTTAGAGCCAGGAGAAGAGCCCAGGTGTCTGGTTCGTGCCATCCAGGCTGCACCGCTCAGCAAACTGAGGAGCAAAACCCAGGCGACCTGATCCTAGAGCCCGGCTACATCCCTAGCCGCTCCTCTGCTAGGCAGAGACTCAGGCATCCTGCCTTCCCATCCAACACATGCTCTTCCCTGTGCTGGAGAGAAGCAGCTCTGTCTCCCTGTCCCCTTGGCCTCTGTCTGTGTCCCACACCAACCCTTCTCCTGGCGGCGGGGGACCAGAGCAGTTGAAAGGCCATGTTTGCTCCAGTGTTCTCTCTCTCCTGCATCCGAGGGAGGATTTTGTGGCTTTTTCTGAGCCCAAGGGACCCATGCCAGGAGCTGGAGGCTGGTGCTGTGCACATGCCACTCTGTTAGTGCTCTTGCATCTCCACCTGCAGCCCTTGCTCATTCAGCCCTGTCCATCCCTGCCTGGGTAGCTCAGGGAGTCACCTTCCATCCCAGACAGCTCCCACCTGCTCTGCCGGTGCCCCTCACTCCTGACCTACAGCCTGGGCTCCCACAGCTGCCCCGCTAATGCCAACCCATGCTGACCCACAGTTTCCTGCTCTTCCAGCCCTCTATGTTGCCTTGCTCTTGTTGCAGCTGGGTTTGCTCTGCTTGGAAGGTGGCAGAGGATGGCAGCTCTCTGAAGGGGGCCACAGGGGCCAGGGCAGCCAAAGATGGGCTCCAGACCCCTTGCCCGCCAGCTCCCAGCACTGGAAGAGACCTCAGGCCGGCAGTCTTTGTGTGCCAGTTTCTCCCGTGACAAAGCAGGGCTGAGGGCGCCGTGCTGGGTGATCCTGGCACCTGCCTGATAGGCCAGGCTCTCTTAAATGAAGGAGCTGGGGTTTTTGCGGGAAGGGGATAGAACTGGGTTTGGGGCACTCTTGCGGTGGACTGGGCATCTCAAAGGAAAGGGCATTGCTAATGAAAATGTGCTGAGCTGATACATTATCCTGGGCCTGGGGCTGCAGCTTCGTATCCTTGGCACGGTCGCCTGGGACTGGGGGGAGATGTGGCAGGAATAGATAATCGCAGGCAGCACTGGAGGCCCGGCCTTTTCCTCCTCCCTCTCGTTGGAAGGGCGACAGCTTCCCCGTCACTCCGGGGGTGTGTGCAGGGCTGGGGTCTGGGGGTGGCCCGGGCAGTGGCTGGACCCCAGGGCATGGGTTTGGGCATTATGTGTGTGGGTTGTGGGGGGGAGAGGAGTTGGGGCAGACTGTCCCAGGAAAGCTGGGTTCTCTTGGAGAGGGGAGCTCTGGCTCGATGAGCCCCTGGGGTGAGGCAATCTGGTAGGACCTCTCCATACTCAGTCCCATTGGGGTCCTTCATTGCCAGCTGGGACAGGACACCCCCGGGTCTGTGCCAGGCAGGAAGCTCACATTGGCTCCCTGCACCTGGCCGGTGGGTGCTTGGAGAGGGGGGTCCTGGCCCCGGCCATGCTCCTGGCCCCTCTGTTCTCTGCCCCCTTCCAGCTCCTCTCTGAGCCTGGCATGAAAAAACTTTGTGAGGGCCCTGAATGGAAACCCCAGTGTAGGGGGCAGAAACCCACCCCTTGCCCTCCAAGCAAACTGCCTGGGTGCTGGCCACACTGCCATGCAGCCTCCCGACCCCACGCCAGCCTGCCTGTCCCTCCCAGCCTCCGGGCACGGAGCCACGTGCTACCCTGGCAAAAAAAAAAAAGTTTTCAATTAGCAATTGTCACACCGTGGATTAACCTCATTGCCTACGATACTGCCACAACACGGTGCCTGGGGCATCTCCGGGGCTTCCTGGTGCTGCTTAATAACCCCAGGGCATCAGTGCTTGGTCTGACTGTGTCTCTCTCCCCCTCGCAGGGCAAATGACATAGGATGACCCCTGCTGGTCCCCTCTTACTGTCTGTGATATCGTCTCTCTTGTGGCTCACGCGGGGCTTCGACCCGGCTCCCAGCGCCTGCTCAGCTCTGGCCTCCGGGGTCCTCTACGGCTCTTTCTCGCTCAAGGACCTCTTCCCCACCATCACCTCCGGCTGCTCGTGGACCCTGGAGAACCCCGACCCCACCAAGTACTCCCTGTACCTCAAGTTCAACCGGGAAGAGCAGGTGTGCACGCACTTCTCCCCTATGGTGCTGCCCCTCGACCATTACCTCTCCAACTACAGCTGCGGCCCCCGGGCCGAGGCCGGAGGACCCCCGCCGGGCGAGGAGGCTGGCGACGAGGAGCTGGAGGCCCAGCTGGAGCTGTGCCAGGGCACCGGCCCCTTCACCTTCCTGCACTTCGACAAGAACTTCGTGCAGCTGTGCCTGGCGGCCGAGCCCGAGGCGGCCCCCCGCCTGCTGGCCCCCGCGGCCCTGGAGTTTCGCTTCGTGGAGGTGCTGCTCATCAACAACAACCAGGTGGGGGGCCGGGGGACGCCGCACTGCGGCCTCACCCAGACGGGCTGCAGCTGCCAAGCCGAGAGCCCCCCGGCCGCCGCCGCGCCGCCCCGGCGCAACGAGACGCTGTCCAACGCCCTGGCGCCGCCCGCCGTCCCCAGCAGCAGCAGCAGCGAGTGCTGCGTGACCGAACTGCATTCTGGGAATGCGAACGATTTATACGTGCCGGAGATTAAATACGGTAAGGGGGCGCTGGGGCGGGAGCCGGACTGCAGCCGGGGAGGGCTGGGCCTGACGGTGGGTGAGGTTTGGCTGTGGGGAATCTCCCTTGGTGGTTTGCACTATAGGGCTCCTGTGCATTGGTTGGGGAGTCCCCACGCTTCAGTAGCAGGCTGTTGTATGGGGTATTCAAAGGGTCTTGGGCCCCTGTGCTGAGGCTGTATGGATGGGGGTGCCTGTGCCATCTGGCCGGGCTGCTGCAGCGGGTGACGGCTGTACCCTTCCCCAGCTGCACCCCTGGCTTCAGCTCCAGCCCGCATGGGTGGGCACCATGTCTCCGGTCTCCATCCGTCTGTGTGTGCTGAACCCTCAGCCCCACCAGACGGACACATGCTCCCCGTTTGGTGCCTGGGGGCACCCCGCTGCCTCCCCCAGCACCCTGCTCTTTGCAATTGCCCCAGCCCGGCTCCCTTGCTCAAAGGCTCCCTGCCCCCAGCTTGCCTCACTGTGGGTGGAGAAGGGTTAAAGGCACCAGTGCTTGGAGTCTGTGCACCCAGGCCCCTGGCATTTGTCTTGCCCCTCCTGCATGCCCCTCAGGGACTGGATGTGGGCATCGGCCCGTGGTGGGTCTGGCACACCAAGAGCAGGGGCTGTGCCTGGATTTGACCTTGGATGAGGCATGGAAGAAGCAAGCCCAGTCTGGTCTGGCCTGACCTGGCCTCTGGTGCTGGGGCCAATGGACGCCCAGGACATTGCAGCAGGTCCCCAAATTCTGTTCGGTGAGGGGATGTGTGAATTGAAGGTGTCTTTGATTTCCCCTCTCTCCCAGCAAAGCCCAGGTCATTGGGTTACTGCCTTCCCCTGCATCCCTCGCCCAAGTTTGCTGCTGGCCCGGCTGGTGGTAGGAGCTCCTGGGCTTCCCCTTCCCCTGGTGCTGCAGCAGCTGGTGGCTGATGGAGCGGCTTGGCTCTGGGGCCCTGTCATTCTGCATCAGTGCCGACACTGAGAACAATTTCCAGGGACAGTGACCCTTTCCTGTGGCAAATTCCCCTTGACGGCTGATGCCCAGGTGCCTGCTACTGCCGCCAGCGTGTCAATAGCACCTCAGCAAGGCTGTGCTGGGCTGTTAACCCAGCAGCACGAGGACACTGGCTGGTCATGGAAGTGCATGAACCCACGGTGCGGTGAAAGCTGCCTGCCTGGTCAGGGGGGTAGCCCCTGCATGCTGCCTGGGCACGCCAAGTTCAGAGCTACCCTGCTGTCCTCCTGTTCCAGCTCTGCACTGCCCCCCTCCATGCCACCTGCCCCTCATCCTGCCTCTGGGCTCCCTGCTGGTCCAGCCTGGAGCTCCTTGCAGCACTGCCTCAGTCCTGACTTAGGGTGCAGGCCCTTCCTTCACCCTTGCCCACAACCCCAAATCCTGCCCAGCTGAATCCTGCCCGCCTGCCTTCTTCTATTCCTGCCCTGCCTGCCACCCAGGTCAAGCCATGTGGCAGGCTCCATATTGGCCACTGGACCCAAGTGGGGTCCTCAAGGACAGAAGCCCAGTGCACTGTTCATTGGGGAAGCTGGCCCTTCTGGCCAGGGGCTGGTGACTGGAGTCACCCAGGAGCACCCCGGGCTTCTGCTTAAACAGGCCTCTTCCCTGCAGGGACAGGCACTGTCTGCATCTCAGAGCATCTTCCTCCAAACGCTTATGGAGCATCAGACCCTTGGGTGTTGGGGTATGTCAGGGGCTGTCTGGGGGTGTTGAGAAGTGTCTGGAGGTTGTCAGGAGTCATCGGTGGGTGTTGTCAGGATGTTTAGAGCTGCCAAGGGTGTGTCTGGGGTTGCTGGGGTGTGCTCAGGGTGGTAGATGTTGTCTTGGGGATGTCTAGAGGGGGGGGGGGGGGGGGGGGGGGGTACCTGCACATTGGGATGGGAATAATGCTGTCTGTAGCACATCGATGATACCATGCCTGCCCCGTATCACTCAGGGGGCCAGAGCTGGGAGCTGCGACCCATCAGCTGCCCGTGCCTCACAGCTGGCCAGATGTTCCCCCATGATGTGTTCCCCCATGAAGCCCGACAGAAGAACAGAACACAGCTGGCCAGATGTTCCCAGATGTGGGGCTGGCCTTGCTGTGTTCTGTTCTTCTGTCAGACTTCAGCATTTCTAGCAGGCCCTAAGTGTCTTTATGGGCAAACCCCGCAGACTCAGCTTCCAGCCTGTGCTGACCACAGGACCACCTATCACCATGTCCCTTGGGAACTTTTTTGCTTTGTGGTTTGACGTGCAACTTGGCATGGCTGCTTAGGAGCCCCCCGCCTTGGCAGACATATTCCCCGAGTGGGACTGGTGCTAGGGACCCCGCATAGCCCCTGCTGATGGGGTGAGGAGAGCAGAAGGCCAGGGATCTGCACTGACTTCACTGCCTTCAGCTGCTTGTGAACTGCTGTCCTCAGAGCCACCTACCCACAGCTCAGAGCAGCTCCCAGGGCAGCCTGGGCCTCTCAAGGCATGAGTTGGGGTCGGTGACACTTGTCCGGGACTCATGGAGGGGCTGTGGGGCTGAGGGAGCACGAGCCTGCCCAGCTGGTCTTCATCTGGGAGTGCTGGGGCTGCAAGGGAAGGTGGGTGGGGAAGGAAAGCTGGGCTGGGCTGACTCTGCCACTGCCTGCCTTGTCACCATGGGTCACTCCCCTCTCAGCCTCAGCTCCCCCGTTATAGAAATGGGGCCAGGAACTCAGACCTGCTTAGGCTGAAAGATCTTCCCCCTAGAGCCTCTCCCTGTGTCCAGCCCTGCTGGGGTCCATACAGGGCCTGGCACAGTGGGGGCCCAAGCCACCATTGTTAGCCTAAGCAGCCCCGTTCGGCTTCACTGGGCTTGTGTGTTATCGCGAGATAGCCAAGCTTTCTGTGCTGAGGGGCCGGTTGGAGAAAGGAGCCATTTCCATGCCCCATCTTGGTCTTTCTGCTGCGGGGCATGTGAGCTGAGACCTTCCAAACTCATCGCACGCTGCATCCTCCGACCGGGGCCAGGCGGTAACAAGCAGCCACAGGAGAAAGGGTCCCCCGCTGAGCGGCCTGGCTGGATAGGACTTGTGCAGGGTACACGCCTGCCTGGTGGTGTCACCTGGGGCCGTGCGTGACTCCCGTTGAAGCCGGCTGCGCGGCCGCTTGTTCTGGAAGGGTAGTTGTTTGAACTCCGGTTCCCTCCGCCAAATTATGTTTGACATTCAATTAAAACCCCGCGGCACCTGGATGGGAAATGTTAGCGCAGCAATGAAGTCGTCGGGGGTAATTCATTTCTCTTGCAGCCTTGTCGCTGGCAGGGCTGGCAGGGACAGCGGGAGAGGGGCTAGCATGCGGGAGCTCACTGCTGGGGCCCCAGGAGGCAGCAGGACCCGGCTGAGCTGCCGCTCCAGCCTGGGGCTGCTTCGCTGCAGGCACTTGGGCTCAGGGCTGAATGAGGCTGGACTGGCAGGGTGCTGGGCATTGCAGGGTGCCTGCCTGGTCTTGCACACCTCCCTCTCTCTCACCAGTGTCCATGCACACTTCTTTTCCCAGCTGCATGCTTATGCAGGCAGCCACACCCTCTCCTCTCCCGGAGTGTGCTTCCTAGCTCTGCCTCCTTCAGACACAGTGCACCAGCCTGCACACGTGCTGCGGCATCACATGCTTCTCTTTCATGCATTTGGCACCTCCTCTCCTGCTGTAGCACCATTGGGCAGGGCTGCCCACTAGCATGCAGGCCTGTAGGCACGCTCAGCCCTTGTGTGTGTGTGCTGCAACGCTCTGCCAGGGAGAGATGGTGAAGACACCACCGCATGGCTGGTGGTTCTTGCCAGTGGGGATGCAGCTCTGCTTGCCGAGACAGCTGATGGCCCTGTCTGCGGAGCCCTGTCTACACTAGGGATCCTTGTCACCAGGCCAAGCCACAAGGCTGCGAGTGCTTTGGTGCGCTTAGATGTGCACACCTGTGCGCATTTGCACGTGAGTGCACACCATCCTTGTCCTGCCCGGCCGCGGTTGGGCTGCTCTGGTGCCTCCCTCTGCTGCATCTTCCCTGGCATGGGGGTGGGCCCCGGAGGACAGAGCGCCGTTGATGTGCCAGGCTGGCACAGACGGGGGAGGGGGATCTGCTGGCCTGACCCCTGCCTGGCGCCCCCCCAAGCCCCACTTGCACTGCCCCACCATGGAGAATAGCCGCCTGTTCCCCTTCCAGGTCTCCCTCGGCAGGCCGGGCTCCGGGGCTGAATGCTGCGCCTTTGATTCGGTGTTGGCAAGCACCCAGCTCTGAGCTCATCGGGCCTCCTCTGAGCAGAGCTCCCACCACCCGCTCCCCATGGGGCTGCCTCCATCCCCCTGGGGCTGCGGGACCCTAACCCTGCCCAGCCACCACCCCCACAGTGCCAGCCTTGGGCTCCGCGTCCCCACTCCCAGGCTATGCTCTTTGGACAGGAATTGGGAGCCACATGGCAATGCCGCAGAGACCCCTTCTTTTGGCTATAGTCCACGAGGTGGGGAGCAGCAGCCAGGGGCTGGCCCTGGCAGGAGGGTCTCTACGCTGGGAGGGACAGGTGCCTGCAGAGCCGAGACTTGGCTGCATCCACCTGCCGGGCATGTCTTTGCTGCTCGATTAAGGGCAAAGGCTCTGGTGGGAGAGTATGCTGCTCCTGGGCTTGCACCAGCACGCAGGTGCATGCTTGCATGTGCAGACACGCACCATTTGCACACATGTGGGTAATCCCTGGGTGCTTGCACACATAATATGCATGTGCACACATGCAGCCCCCTGGCACTGTGCGTGTGCACACAGCTGCTCAGTCCCCGTGAGTATCTGTGCTCTGCCTGCACGTGCCTTGTGCTGTCACCCCTTGCAGCTGGACCAGTTCTGTGCCAGCTGGGAGTGGGCAGTGGTGCTGGAGGGGCAGGGTGTTGGGCTGGGAGTCCAGATACCTGGGTCTCATGTGCAGCTATGGCATTGGCCTGCTGGAGCCTTTCTCCTCTTGCCTTGCCCTCCTTCTCTTTGGCTCTCCAGCCTATTTAGACTGTAAGGAGAGGATCCTCAAAGGGTGTCTAATTCCCATTAGTTCCCATGGGAATTAGGCACCTCAGTCCCTCCTGAGCCAGGAGCCATGTAGCTGCATGTGGGCCAATGTGTGAAACGGGGTGCTCTGCACTGCTGGGCAGAAGGGGAGTTGGCCTGACCCATGCTAATTGGCCTGACCCATGCTAATTCACCTGCCCCTGCTAATTAGCCTGCCCCAAGCCTCAGAAGCAAGCAGTTTATGGATCCCTGCACAGTGCAGGCTGCCTGCAGGCACTGTTGCTGGGCACAGGGAGGTGTCTATGCCATCCCCGTGCAGTGCCAGCTTCCAAAACTGGTCCATTGCAATCCACAAACCACGTGGTGTCAGGAGCTCATCAGAGCAGTCACATCCCAGGGCAGCCGGGAGCACTCAGGCACCAACCCCGGGAGCACTGAGCAGCGGGGAAAGGGTCAGGCGACTCCTGTCGCTGCCAGGGCCCTGTGCCCCCAAGGCGGGCAGCTGGGGAAGCTTGGGCTCCGTGGGTTTTCATTGGAGCATGGCACGCAATCAACCTGGGCAAAGCATGGGCAAAGAGGCTGTAGCCTCGTGGGGCTGGGCAGGACAGGGCTGCATCCATGGTCTTATCTGCAGGTCTCCAGGTCTATGCCCTCACCCTGCCGGGGTGCACCCCGCTGCATGCCCACCCCATCCCCTGCCCAGGAGAGCGAAGCGTCGCCTCCGAGGTGAAAACAGAGGTGGCTGCAAGCTGCCGGGTCTCCATGGCAACCTCTGCGCTGCGGGGGAATTGACTTATGGAGGATGATTAAAAAGAAAGGCGCCGCGCATAATTTGGGGAGCGGGGAAGGGCAGGGAATGGAGCCGCGGCCGCGTGGGGGGCCAGCAGGACAGGGCGGCCTCAGGGTTGCAGCCCCGTGCTGGAGACTTGGGTTGGGTGCCCAGCTCTGCCGTGCCTCGGTTTCCCTGTTGGCAATGCAGCGGCTGTGGATGCCGCCCCATCTCCCCTGGGGGCCTGAGCACAGGTGAGGAGATGCGTGTCTTTGGCATGGTGGGTCGCAGGGCGGTCTCTGGCTCATGCGGTTCCAGCATCACAGCCTCCGCTTTGGGCAGAAGGTGGCTGGGAGCCCAGAGGAGACTGGGAGGGGGCTGGGGAGTCTGGTCTTAGCTGGGCTGGGTCATTCCCCAGCTCCTTCCCAGCGGGACACCAGCTCCGAAGGCAGGAGGGCACATCCTGTGTACCAGCGGCCCGGGGGGGCATTGCCAGCACGTGCTGATCTGCCCCCTCCCCTCTCTCTGGGGCCGAGGGGGTGGTTTATGACAGTGCCAGCGTTAAGTGCTTCTCTGTCCTCATCTGAGCAATCAGACGGAGTGTAAATTTGCCTCGCAGGCCCTCTATTACTGTCGCTAAAATACAGGCTGATTTCCCTGGAGGTTGATGACTAAAGAAACCACAGACAGCGAGCGGAGGGGTGGGGGGGCCAGCAGAGACATGGCCAGGCTGGCAGCCACGTGGTTCAGCTCCTGCATGGGATGCAGGGGCAGGACGATGGGGGTGGCGGGTGCGTGTTGGATGCCTGGGGCAGCTCTGGAGTGCATGGGGGAAGGCACATGGGGCTCGTGGGGAGGGGGCATATGGGGGTGGTGGGGAGGGGTATCG